GCCCTTGGGCACCCGCTCCAGGCGACAAGATGGGAAAAACAGGCCTGGGAAAGGGCCTACTCAGCACTGCTCGCCAGGCACCACAGAGCAGAGAGGATGGCTGCGGTCCTCCCTTCATTCCATATTCCTATAAGTGCCTGTCGGGGGAGACTGCCAGCAAGCACTGGGCAGCCTGCAGACAACAGTCCTAAACTGACAGGGAGCTCGGCTCGCCTGCCACCTTGCAGAGCCAATCAAGGAACGAGAACACTGGCCAGGGGCACAGCCAGCCTTTGTGTTCGTGGTAAATTACATACTGGAGGAGCTCTGGGTTTACCATCAGCAGAAGTCTGCAATGCTATAACAGACTGAGATGTAATGCTCTGGGCAGGCACAGTTTTTCTGGGATCATGGATTGCTGAGCCATTATGTACCCAGCAGAGCTTCATATGGCTGGGAATTCACTGAGAGGTTGAGTGAACTAGTTCAGAACGTCGACCTCTGGCTTTCTGTCACCTCCTGTCCTGTAAACAGAGGTCAGGTTCTCCTCCCTGTTAGAAACAAGGGTTGTAGTTCATTTTTCCTCTTTCTCGGTTCCTACTTGGGGCAAAACTCAGAACCAGAAGATATTGCCAGAAGGTCTTCCTCCATCCTGTCCCCTTTTGCATGTTTGGAGGATAGTCCTTCATCTTCTGAGGACAAAGGAGAAGCTGTGACCTCAGTCTTTATCGTGACCTGGATTGTTTCCAGTCCTTTGCATAATGCCTGGTCTTTTCCATTGAGGGAGAGGACCCCAGATATCCCCCAGCAGGCAACCTACATTCACCTTCTCTGATCCTCCAGTAAGACACTGCTCTGAACATGAAGCACCTCTCTCTACCCCTGCTAGGTTCTCCCCTCTTCCCTTCCTCTGTTGGGAGACCTCCCCAGTCCCTACTGATCCTACCAAAGAAACTTCTGGCTGCATCTGTACTTGGGCGGAGTGGGATAAAAGCACAGATGTAGAATGAACCTGTGCTGTGATAGCAGTCAGGGCTTGTCCAGACATGACAGCTTCCCTACCCCTTCCCAGGGGAGTGAGTGCTCTCAGGAGGGCGGGGAGAGCTCTGTAGCACCTAAGTGGAAAAACTGGCTGAGCTATGCAAGGAGAGGGGATTGCTGGAGACGGGAAAGGATCTTGTGCTTTAACCTTCACCAGCTCCCCAAGCAAAATGAGTAGCAAGCAGTAGGGATTCATAGAGGCACCGGATCCTTGTAGCGGAGCAAAGGCAGAACAAAGCAGAGAGACAGGGCATCTGCTGAGCCTGAGAGCAGTGCATGGATTCCTTTTTCTACATGCCTTAGCATTGTGATATATGGCTCTGACAAGAGCAGAAATGTGCTGTCTTTTACCTCCCTCCCTGCAGTAACACATATCCCCAAAAACACCACACATATTCTCTCCCCTGACAACACACAAAGTTGCCCTAAGAAGATGGATCTTGTCTCTTCTGTGGCAAAGGGAGAGCCCTGTACTACTTGCTCCAACAATGCTGGCTTGCTCTGTGGCTCCAGTACCTCAGTGACTCCTATGCCTTCTAATTGCTCTTCCTCAGAAATGAGCCAGGCACTGACCATATTGTGCAATGTGCTTTGCATGCTTTCCCATGGCAGAAGAGCCATCCCAGTCCAAGCAGAAGGGGACACACAGGAGAAACTTGGCCCTCCTCTGGTTCTCAGCTTTCTAGTCACAGGACAAATACACTGTTCCATGTGTCTGACCCATTTGCCCTGAGAGAACAAGGCTGCATTTTAAGGGTTGGGAACCAGTTGTTGAGTGAGTCAGTGTCAATCACACAGTTACAGCTCGCAGAAACTAGCTCTGGAGCTGAAGGCTCCTGGATGAAGCCCAAGAAGGAGTGGAGAGATGTGTGCACGTCTTACACCTGACACATGAGGAGAAAAATCACAAGTGAAAAAGAGAAGCTGAGGAGGGGAGGAAAGGTATAAGATACACCTGGCAGGCACAGAGGGCACACAAGAGAGAGGTAGACCACACTAACTCCCCTGATCCCACTTTATGCTTACAGATCCTCTGATCTCTAGCTCTCTGGAACCTCTCCCATGGCCTACAGCCAGTGTCTGTCTGCATACTCACCTACGCAGCTCCCATCAACTTCCTCAAACCCCACAGCACAAAGGCATCGGCCCATTGGTACCAGCCACTCCCCATCAGTGCTGCAGTGCATCCTGGGGGGAGAGCCCACTTCTTCAGCTGCATACTCCACACAGACCCCAGGCACTTCTGTCAGCCCCTCTGAACCTGCTAGGGTCTCTGGAAAACGGGCCAGACCCCGCACTGCCTCCGGACAAGTCTTGTAATACACTCGGACAGACACCATTGCTACGCAAGCCCCAGAGTTCTGGAAAGCCAAGTAGAAGCCCCGGCGAGACAACTTCCCAATGGGGCACACTTCTGTGTTCAGCTGCATGGCACCCGATTCGATGTCTCTGCTCGTGAAACTTCGGTCTGCTGCCACAGTGTTGAGCTAAGTGAAAGAGAAAAAGACAACAGTGTTAACATCTGAGCAGGCGGCAGCAGCTGAGATACTCATGCCTCTCAAACTTTTTTTACACTAAGGTCTTTTAGATGCTGTATGGTTAACTGTTTCTAATGCCAGTGCACTGCAAGCTTTCTTTGCACATGGAAGAAGTGTTAACAACGGGATCCGGATCCTTTCTTGCCACCATACTTTCCAGCATCTCCTTCCAACTCCTTGGCAGTCATTCATTGGTCTTATATAGTACACTATGTTCTGGGTCTGATCTCAGAGGTCTTTAGGAACTGCCCTTAAAGGAGAAAATATCTCTTATGTGATATTATTCTTTGTTTGAAAATTGTATGCAGTAAAATCACAGCAGTGCTTAGAGTTGTGTTTTTAAATTGGCCACTGAATTACAGCCACCTGTTTCTGGGCTGTACTTGATGCAGATCAGATCATCTACTGCAAGGTGCTTTTCATGCAGCATTCAATGTATTTCAGCACTGTAGATACTTGGGTGAAAAATGCTCCCACACTCTTATATTCCCACTGCTTCAGCAAACAAAGGGTGACAGAGATACTTTCAATGCTTGGGCAAATGGGAAAGGCCTCCATGACATCGTGTGTTATGGAAGATCTGGACTGCAGGCTTTCTTCTCAGAGCACCTGATGGTGGGGTGGCCTTTCTTCTCAGAGGGAGAGCCTGATAACTGTCCACCACAGGCCCGTTCCCAGTAAGTGACACCACCCACTCTGTGTAGGTGGATGGCAGGTGAAGAGATCTGCACAGCGGCTGCATGTGTGGATCGTAAGGCAGCTTTAGGAGTTTTGGAGGTATTGCACAAATTCACCTGGTAGGTCCCAGCTGCAGGGGAGGTTGGAGGAGAACTGAGGAGGGAGGGGAATCTGTTACCAGAGTCCTGCTCTGCTTGTGGCGGCCTTTACCATTCTTTGTTTTCATCACATGCCATTTAAACTGCAGAGGAAAGGGCAGTCAAATAATTTAGGTCTGTGTTTCTTTTAGGACAGATCTGGGTTACATAAGTTCCTTTACAAAAAATCTGAGGTTTCCTGTTCTGCAGTTCAAAATACTTCCATGGCAAGAGGACACTATGTTGAGGGAAACAGCTGTTAAAATATAGCAGTGCTAAATACTTTCAAACAAGGGAGAATTTCATTATAGCAAGCCATCACCTCCAGTTTTAGAAAAAAAAAGACCCTGTATCTTTTAACAATCAGAGTAAATGATCAGGAGCACAAAGACCTGAACTGGATTCTGTTCTTCACTTGGTCTAATCTTGCTTTGTTACCTAAGGCAATTCAAATTCCTTTGGTTTCTACTTTACTATTTCTAAAAATTGGTGTAACCATCTACCACTGTTATAACCCTTTAGAATCCTTACCTACATGGTGTCCAGTTAAATAAGTGCTTACGCAGAATGGAGGGCTGATCTCATCTGAAAACTCCTGTGCCTCCTGTGGCAAAGACTGCTCTGAGCATCACAGAGGGCACTGGGAGCAAAGTTTATTCTAAGGACAATGCATACTATCCAGGCTCCTCCCTCCCCAGATGCTGGTTCTCCTGGCCTCCCCCAGCCAGCAAGACACACCTAGTTTAAGCTGAAAGATATAACTAGTTTAAGCATAAAGAGATGACTCAGTCTTCACCCCCAGCACTACAGACCTTGATGAACAGCGGGCGGCGGAACTGGATCCCGACATCTTGTTCAGACTCCATGTAATAGAGATTGAAGGTCTCTTTGCAGGTCACCACTTCACCTTTGAAGCTCTTGCAGTCCCTCACAGTAAACTTTAGCTCCACATAAATGCGGGAGGCTGCCTCACCCCGGTAAATCCAGTTAGTACGAAGCCAGTGATCAGTGTCACCCTCGGAAAGCACACTGCAGTCCTGGTACATATAGACCGGGGTACCATTTATCATCTGCTGCACTTCACTCCACTGTGCCCAGGGTAAAAGAAAATACACATTGTTAGACAGATATGAGAAACAAGTTTCACTTCAAATATGACAAAATCTAGCCTAAAAAGGTCCATTCCCATATATCATTCAGGGCTCAAAGCCTGGCTAGCTAAAAGGTCTCTTACACTGAGCAAAAGCTGCATATGGTCTAGAGCCCCATACCTGCCTAAACTCTTTACATAAGGAGCAAAACGGATACTGTAATTTGGATCTGACTTATGACAAGTTGAAGGGAACAACAGTACATGGACCCTTGAACATCCTACCTCAGTTCCAAACTATTTCTTTCATATACTATCTTAAATTGAGAAGAAGACCCACTACTCCGACATATTGGCCACTTCTCTCTGCCATCATTTACATTCAAAGTGTACAGTAGGACATACCAGATCAGGACTATTATTGGCCCCTGAAAATAACACACAGCACTTTTGGGGTAAGAGAAAAGATGGCCCCACACAAAGGTCAGTTGCAGAAGAACTGTGCTACAGCAAGCACTCATTAGTTTGGAGATCATGGTTCTTTAAGTTTGATATTTTGCAAACCCTAATTTAACTATTAAAACCAGTTGATTTTCCTGACTTCATACTAGGTTCTGCTTCTTTCCCAGGCAAATAATGGGTGAGAGGAGGACATGAGCCCAGCTGGTTATATGACCTCACTGATACTATTTGTATGAATCCAGTAGGGTTTGAGACATATTTTAACATACACTTTTGTTGAATTTTATGTGGTTCTAGTTTTGTTTCCTCACCACAGGTCAGATGATAGATACAAAATGCAAAGAATATTCACTTTTGAGTAAGACGCACAGGAGAACTGAAAACTTAGAAAGCATGGTTTTGACCACAGGGAAAGTAACTTAGATCCTTTTTCCACCTGTGCTAAGACTGCCTTTCTCATTATGTTTTCAATGTTTAATCAAATTAAATTGAAACAAGTGCTCACATAGGTATTGGCACAAGTTTAAGCATCTTGGTTTTAAATCACACCCCAGGTTAAGATGCAATTTAAACAAGGCCTCAGTCTCTATATTACTCTAGGCTTGTCAAGTCTCATGGGCTGAGTGTGACTCACATATTTCTCCAGCACCACCACCTCCTCTCTTCACAGCACAACCCTGCAGCCTCTCTCCTAGCTTCTGATCCCACAGACCAGGTCACTCCGCTAGTGGAATATAAGATATGGACCCACAGAGTGCCTAAGGAGGCTCTGCTTTTACATCATGATTTAGAGCATACCTCCTATGCAGCCCCACTCTGAAAACTGATGCATCAGAGTGCTTTCTCCACAGTAATAAGCCCTGCTAACAGCACAAGCTTGTATCTGGCCGATTTCAGCCATTTGCCTAAGTGCATACTAGCAGTCTCCTCCCAGGAAGTTCTGCAGATGGTATCTATGTGTCCCTTCTTGTTTTCTTTTTCTCCACGTAATTAATCATCTCCAGTGTTACCCCACCCTCTTAATCTGATCCACACAGGATTTACACTTATTTCACTTATTGGAGGTCAAAGGACTTAGGATAGCAAGAGAGAGAAACAGACTGATCAGTCTCAATTGATCAACCAGAAGGGGCAATCAATCACCCCTTGCACTATTTCATTGAAAAACTTCTGGAAAATGCTACAGAACTGAATTTACAACACACCCCAAAGTATATTGAAATACAAGAAAAGAAGTTAGAATGGAGAATAAGAGCAAAGTGGCTTTCATAAGAAACTGCTAATGTTAGGGCTGGCTTTTAGAAGCATTTTTCCATGGGTGTCTGCCTCCACCAAGCTGATGAGAAATTAGTAATTGCATTGGAAGGCTGAGAGTTAGAAAAGTTTCCATTAGCAATTTATCCTAAGGCAATGCCACAGTCATGTTGCACCAAAAGACACGACCTGTTGTGATGCATGTCCTGAATATACCATTTTCAAAACTTAAGTGATACGGGACCAAAATTTCATTTTCAATAGTGGCAACTCTAGCAGAAACATCTCCTTTAAAATCTACTGCTGGAAAAAATCCAAGTGCTAACTCCTGTATTTCTTAGCTCTTTTCAGCCCAGCTTCTTCCAGACTGAGCTCTTCCGGGCAAAGATGCTTAGCACTGACTATTGCAGTTTCATATGCAGAGTGGTGCAAAGAAATAACAAGGGAGTCAGACTTGGTTTTTCTAGACTGTACTGCTGATGGGTAAAGGAAGTAAAATGAGGATATTATTTATGCTAATGATACAGAACTATTGTTAAATATGCTTGTGACTGCTTTTCATTATTCAGTGAAGCTTTTAAATTTAAAGTAGTAGAGGAAAACTGTTACATACAACACTTAATGAAAGAGCAATGAGTCCAGAAGTTGCTAGGCAACTGTCTCACATCCTGAAAAAATCTACTGCAAATTCAAAACTTGGATTTTTAATGAACTTAATGAACATGTGTGGAAAAGTCTGGCTCAATCAATAGGAATTACATGGCTCTCCAGGGCTCTCCAGTTTGCCCATGACAATGAATCTACATCCTTTGATAATATAACTTTTTACAAATTTCATTCCAAAACTGTATCCTTATTCCAGTCATTGGTTCGGCCACAGGCCACAGGATGTGAAATATTCTCCTAGGAGAAGTGGGGGTCAGTGGGAGTCAGACTTCCTCATTTTAGCAGTGAGTGAACTGTGATTTTATGATGCTACAGAAAACTTTTTCATGAGATTCAGAATCATAGAAAGACTTAGGTTGGAAAGGACCCTTGGAGATCATCTAGTTCAATACCCTGCTCCAAGCAAGCTAAAGACTTCCTAAAATCTTTAAATTTTATTCTTTAAAACTCCTTTTAAATTCTTTTAAATTTAAATTTTTTTTAAGTTTAAACTCTCTTTAAACTTTTAAAACCTTTCAGAAGTCTTAAAAAGTTGCTAACAAAACAAAAGTAAATGCATTCAGGAGAGGGCCATAAATTAGTAGCTTGACTCTCTAAAAAATCTAAGGATGTAGCCATTGGATTGGAAGACAAAAGGGTGTTCTATACTTCTTAGGAACCCATATACTAACACAGGCACTTACTTCCAGTGATTTGGTCTTGAAAGTCTTGGTCTGGCGGTATAACACACAGCAAAATAATTCCAGCACAGCAATTAGTGTTAAGTGAATTAAAGCCTCAAAGCAAAAGTACTATCTCAGTAACCTCAGAACACTGCAAGTTTAGGAAAAAGGAAGGCAACTTTTCCTCCCATGGTTAGTTTGGATTCAATATAAAGAAAGCAGTGGCAGAGATAAACTGTCTTTATGAAGGCCATTCAGAATGACTTGAATGACAATCTGGAAAGGTGCCAGTAGGTATTTGTAGTAAACAGTATTGGTTTGGTCTGCCTTGTGAGTAAAGATCCAAAGATAAGATAAGGTACATGCCTTTTAATACTTGCCTTGACTGAGAATCGGTTATACAGTTTAACGCTCTGAAGCCTAAGGAAGGCTTACTCTGCATTTTCTATAAATGAGCCTTCTTTAGGTTATGTCAAAGAGCCTATCCCCGACAAACTGTGATTCCTCCATCCATCTGTGGACTACTCTTCCTAGGATCTGCCATAAGGTATGAGATGGAAACAAACTGAGAGAGTTCATATATCTTCTTGGAGATACTGTCTCAGGCTCTGCAGGCATCAGTAAAGTGGTCTCTTTTGGTTTTAGTGTTTTTATGTGGGGAAAAAAACCCCAAACTTTTTATGATGACTAATACAAATTTCATCCTTGCTAATAAAGAGGTAGGCTACCAGTGACAGAGGCAGCAGGCTGTGACAGTATTGCAAATCCTTAGGCCCAGACTGCAAAAGTGCTTGTGGCTTGCAACAGTAATGCTGCCTCCAACTCCAGCCTGCCAGGGACTTGCCTGGTCTCTTTTCAGGTAAGACCCTGCCTGCTGTGACCTATATTTCATTTGCCTTCACATTAGCTCAGCACAGTGGCTTCCAATCTGTGGCCGGTAGACCCCTGGAGAAAGGCACAGTGATACTTTTAAGAGACTTACAGAAGGAAACAACAAGGCAAACATCTTGCCAATATGTTTAAAGTTACTAAACTAAGATCTGTATCTCCACTGGAAAAGATAGGAGTTCACATATTGAAAACCAGTAACTTCTTTAACTTTGGGTTAGAGAGCTGGACTAAGATGAAGAGACTGACTGAGTTAGTACAGCCAGCTACAGTGTGCCTGTGCTTAGCAAGTGCATCTCTTTCCCATTTAATTTGCAACAGAATTCAGAGTGCTATTTTAATCCATGAAATCTTTTCCTGAAAAAAATCACAGGGCCCCAAAACAGCAATCCTTTTCAGCAACAATACATCACTGGTGTCCCAAGCCTGAAACCACCTAGCAGAACATGCACTACTGAATGGTTTCCATCTCCTCCCTGTCAGCACTTCTGCCTATGGAGTCTTTTTGACTTTTGTACAGTAGCATTTCCATGCTACCATGACCAAAAAAAACTTCCTGGAATAGATTCAGAATTGAAGGCAGTTGTACATTACAGGTTCGGCTGTGCTACATTCTTAGCGTAGTGCCTCAGAGGAAAGACTGTAGCAATAGAGACATCTTGCTGATACTTGCTGTGATATGGTGAACAGCTTCTCTTCAGCTAAAATACATCTGACAAAAATCTGTCAGTAGATAAAGCTAGACCAGTCAGTCAAAAATAGCAGCACCATGGAGGTGTTCTGATAATACTCCAGAATGAAGTCTCTGTGACCCTTCACTGAAAGTTTCTCAATACTCTTGCAAGTTCTTTCGCTGGTGTGGAAGACAATTTAGATGATGATGATGAAATAAGTGTGGTGACATCTAGGCACTTAACTGCATGAGTCCTGTAACTTTAGATCTGAGAAAGCAAAGAGGCTGCTTTTATTTCTTTGATCTTTTGGCAATGGTCAGGGAAGTTTGATTTCATCACATCATCATGGAGTCTTTGACACAACTCGACATAGAAGTGATGTTTACTTGTCT